ACAGCAGCTGCACTAGTTTTTCTTAGACAAAACTGACCTAAACTTTATAAAAATAGGTCAATTTATAATAGATCTGCATAAATAATAGTTATCAGTACATAGATAATATTATGGAACTATGACATTATCTACGAAAGAACGTACAACGCCATAGGCAGCCGCATTCAATAAATGTCAAAGTATGTTACTTGGCAAAAGTAAGACAAGGATTAGTTAGTGAAAGTCACTTCGTGAGAAGCAGAAACTAATTTTTCAATATAAATATTGCATAAACGTTGAGTATTTTGCTGAACCTAGATAATCCGATTGTTTTCTATTTCGGTTTAAAATTAGAATATTTCAACCAATATTTATTTCAATTTAAACATGGCAAAAATGCCTAATAATTTAGGAGAGCCAAAATTGTCCACTTATTGATCTTGGTCAAGAAGTTATTCTGTTCAGAAAATTTAAACAACTATCAAAAGTTCGAATTTTTATGATATAGATGAATGCCACAGTTTAATTTTTGCATTAAATGTCGGTAATTGAAAAATATGTAAGATACTTAGCACGCTATGATTTTTAGATTTTTATACCTTTTGACATGCTACCGTTAGCAACGGAAACAGCAAAAGTAGGCTATATTTGACTGCTAAGTGTCATTCATATACGTAGAAAGTCAATACATATATGTATTTATCAGCTAACTTGAACGAAATAATCTTCTTGCCAATGATCTAATGAATAGCTTACCGCTTAAATATTTTATTGCAAAAATGATCACGTAAGATATTTTCGGTATTGAGAGGGGAAATAAAATCTATGAATGTTTTAATGGAATGACTTCATAATAAACAGTCGCGGTACCAGGTAAATGTTGCTGTTGCTCCAAAATGGTAGTAAAATCGTTAGATACACTGTTACTACCTTGCTTCTCCAGAAAATTCGATGCTTCTTGTAGTCTTCATTCTGTTATATTTGACATATATATCTAAGATATGTCATTTTATATTCTAGGTAATTTTTAATGATTATTGGTTGGTTTTAGTTACTCAAATATATCGTTTTCGGGCGCTAAGCATTTTAGCCAAAGTTAATTAGGAATGACACTGTACCTGTGATATTGAACTGCTAAAATCATAAAATATTGGTTGGCAATTAGACTCTGCATTTTATAGGGATAAATAGATAAGTTAAAATTTTAGTCATTATAACTTTAAATTACATAATTAATTACAACATTTCTTCTGACATTAAAACTGAACTATTTATAGTGTATTAGTGAATTATATTTTGAAATTTAGCAAATAAAAATAAGGATTTTATAATTCTATCAGATCTAATTTTAGTCTTATAGGATTATGAAAATAAATGATTAGAATAATTTTCTTAGTAAGTCACGATTTAGTAAAGAACTTTCCATACTTACAGCTTTGAATAAATTACTTGGGATTGTATTTCCGCTAATAAATGTGCGTGCAAGTTTATCTAGTTCACGGCTTTACAAAATAAGGGATTAGTATTGCTTTCTGGACTGCTTAAGACTAGATGTAAGTTATCTATAACCATCATTCTAGAATAAATTTTATTAAGATATTACGTTAGTTTATGCACTTGTGTAAACTAGCTTACTGTATTATACATTTAAACTTAACTACAGCTTTAGACAGGAGACTGTGTCTTCCAAAAGCATTTTAAAAGGATAGCCATACTATGTACATTTTAATATACCGTCCTAAACTACCTATCATCTGAAACACTAACTAGAATAATCTACTTGTGCCTAACAGTTGCAGTACAATAATTTGATCAATCATTTTTGTAGTTACTATTATCAGAAATATTGAACTTCACCCATAAATATTAACGACATCATCAGTACGCTACCTCATCAACATTAATACTGTAGATTTTTGTATTCTGCTGTTAGTTATATTTTTATATAATGTATTATTGTACCCTTAAATTGTGTATAATCATATACCACTTCATTAAACGAGTCATAAGCTAATTCGTCGACAAGTTGTTTAACTAAATAAATGATTCTTAGAAATTAGTAGAAATTTCTGCTAATTAGAGTATAAGTTTCTCTTATTATGTAATTATTTACTTTTTAGACCGATACAATTAGGGGTAGGATTGGCTATATACAAGTATATACTTATTATTGTTTAATGGAAAATCAAACAGAAATTATACTCTGCGATTTTATTTACATTGCTACTATTTCAAATAAAATACACGCATTGATTGCAATTTTTAGAGACAGACTATTTTGTTCGAGAATTTCATTGATTTTCTGGAGTGTAGTACCTATCTTAAGGTAAGTAGGGTACGGTGCTGTTTGTTTGCATAAGAGTAGAATAGTTTAAGATCAGTGTTTATTCAATGTCTTGCTGGGATGGTTAATGTAATCCTGCAGTATAAAAGCCTGCGTAATACAGATAAATTTTAGTGTATTCAATCAGATTTGGAAGAGTTATATTTTAATTGTCTTACATTTAGATGGTAAGATTACTATTACTTTAACAGAGTCTGTACCTTTTAATTTCTTTCAGCTATTCTACCTACGGTAATAGGCTAATTATTATTATGCGATAGTTACTACATTATATAGTATTTATCCCTCACAATTCGTTCTTATGTTATTTTCTGATCTCTGATCCAATTCTAGATGGCTAGTACTAGCATCATAGTTGGCAATCAATCGGAGTTTCACCACTTAATTGAAAAAAATGATAGTCATGAAAGCCAGCATGGTGTTTCATATTTATCATCAGATCGTAGAAGATATGAAGCCTTCGGCGGAAATTTTAGTACAAGTCAATTCGATCAAGGTTCATTTCAGGTTGATTGCCGTAGCATTCCTTGGCAGGAATCTAACTGTTACAATGGTGTTACTCAGCAGAATGCTTTGCAAATGTGTCCAAGAAGCAATTTATCACCTTCAGATCCAATTCTGAATCAACCTGATCCCGCTAATCATGATGTTTCATATCATCAGCCACCAGTATCGAGAATAATTGACCGTGAATATTCCTATGAATGTAATTCAAAGAACCATTTCGTGAGCCACTATAAACCGGAACATCGCCATAGTAATTCATCGAGTCTTAGTTGTAGCACTTTGCAACCAGCAAGCCCATCATCCGATGATTTAAGAACCTCTCAAATGAATATTCGAAATATTATTTCTAGTAATACGCAACCAAATGAAAGTTTAAACATCTATCCTGATAGGCATACAGGTAAAAAAGTACTTTATTTATAAAATTAATTCCAATTTCAGAAATTAATGCAATGATAGATAGTTATACTAATATACTACGACGTTACCTATACATGTCGTTAGTTTTTCACTAGTTTATATTTATCGATATTTCGGATGAACTATCCTTAATTGCCTGCTACTTGCTTGCAATCGATGCTTATGGCTTAAAAGATGTAAAGAATCTACTATGTAAAATCAGTAGAAAAGTAGACGATGACTATCCTAGTCGTTGATTTCTTCTAATGGTAGATTTATAATTATTTTATAGACGGAAAACTGATGCAAAACTCATTTTATAGATATCATTTTGTACATAAACATCTCGTAACGCTAGATCTAATCGCTTAATTTTCACTCATGCATCTCTTGATCGTTTACTTTCCATCATTAGCTGAATGATGGTTGAAGCTTAATTAAGTACAAATTTAAACTAAAAATTTTAGTTAAGGCAGTTTAAGGCATAAAAGTTAAAATTTCGTAAATTTGAGAACATCCAATGTTGGAAAGAATGTTGCTTCAAGGTGATGATAATTGCTATTATTGCTATATCCTCTCTATGGTGAATAATATCTGTGAGGTATTAGTCATGGGCTAAGAGGAGAATCTAGTGATCCATGTTTAAACATGCCGATATTGAAGAAGATTTTCCACTAAATGTACGATATGTAAGCATATTGGGTTAGCACATAGATTTATCTATCTACAGTATCATCGGTGCGAATTGCCTATTTGCGGTGCGCATAAAGTATCTTCACAACATTAAACTAAGAACTACTATTTGCAGTAAAATTTTGGTGCATGAAATTTGATTCTTTTAATTGTTCTTTAATCACTAGATTGAGCTAAATTGACTATCGATTGTAATTAAACGACAAAATAGTAAATTATTCATCATGCTTTACTTGGATGTATGCCTTAATATCTGAAAGCCTCAATATTTTCTTGCTATAAAAGACGACATTATATGCCGAAAGTATCGTCTAAGAATAGATACTTGCATAATATTACCATCAAACGTACAACATTGGCTATTTTTCACGCAATCTTAAAATTTTTTATATAGCTAATTTTGAATTACACTATTACTACTTTTAAAAGTGATGTAATTATGAAAACATTGAATTTTCCCCAATTTGTTATGCCTTTGTTTGCTATTCCTATTTTAAATATAAATTTTCGAAGTAAAACAGAATTTCAAGATTTTACCTACATCGCTTCTTTAATTAACAGCGAGGATATTAGAACAAATTAAATAATAGTAAGGATAGCCAGAATAGGATGTCTTTCCTGCTGTTTATATCGTGATGGAAAAATAACACCTAAATAAATAATCTGCCCGATACAGAACTATTGTCTATACAGTAAAGTCAGAGAAAGCTTTCCAAGAATGATATATTAATTATTTAATTATTCGTAAACTGAACTTGTAAACGGATGTTGTTGCCATATTTTGCTAGTCTGACTTTACCTTTAGACGTAGAAATGATCAAATACTTAGATCTAGAGTTGCTACTGCCGATTTCAGTAGGTAGCTTACAATTACAAATGGAAATACAGATCTTGGTGTAGGTCGCGTGCTTAGTTCTCCTATTACTTAATCGCGAATAATGATAAATGGCTATGAGTTCATTAAATTACCAAAACAAAACTTAAGAGCTTATAGATTGTAATAAGATTAAGAAATTCCTACTTTCTATCAAGTAGAATATATAATGAAGCTTTGTTACTTTTGTAACACTTAGGATCGACAAAGAAAAGAAGAACTAGAACAAGTTTTTCCCCTGATCAGAAACGAGAATTAACAAATCGATTCGAAAGTAATCCTTACATCAAATCTAGTGAACGAAGAGCTTTAGCAGCTAAACTTGGTCTTCCTGATAGAGTGGTTAAGAATTACTTTCAAAACAGGCAAGGATTAATTGACATTATTAGACCCAAACTGTGTAGTGCGGATATAATACAAGATGGCAAGATTTACCTTTCGTTATGAAAATTTGATGATATTGATCACCTAGTAAATTTCAATGTGGATTAATTCAATATTATCCGTATAAGTGATTTATGCGTATTACAATATTGAAGAAATATCCTGTTACTAAGCTATAATTATAAATTATCATGAAATTTTTGGCTATTGTAGGCGGCTGAAAGATAAAAGATTGAAGCGTTCAGAAAATTTTTACAAACATGGTGGTGCAAACTTTTATTAATAGCAGCCTATATGATACAAGTATGTCAATAATATTTTGTCGTTCATAGAGATCTCGACGAAGAATATGATATACGTATCCATTTTTCTGCCATTAGCAATATTATCTTTATTGCAAACGGAAGATGATTGCAAATTTTATAACCTTCAACAAGTTAGCGATAACTGCTGATAAAATACAACTTTGGGATAAGTAGAAACCTTGATGGTTTTCGATGTCTCAATGACTATTTTCGCAATCATTCAAAATTGCGGTATCATCGATTTCTATACATTTAGATTATGATATACTCGTAGAACATGTTGCGTTTACGGTATACTGTAATATATAAAATTCAATACATGTTTATGCTATTTATCTAAGCGACGACTCTGTAAACAGATTATTTCTTAACAATTTTCTCTTTAATTTTACTCGACTGCACCTTTTCCTTTTTATATTCTCCACTATTATTATAATTAACAGTCGTAATGTAGTATTTACTTCTAAATACAGTATAGTCTATTATAAGTAAAAGTATTAGTTTGCACTAGACTGTAGCATAATTCTAAAACAGTAACTTAACTCTAAATATGCATGATCTATGTTTAACAATTTACTCTGTGAAAGTATCTTCTACTCTAGGTAACTTATACCGTAGCACTAGCTTAACATACAAGTAACCTATTTTCATAAATCATTCGCGCCTTTAAATAATTTCCTCCCGCTGTGGCCCTAACAATATAAAAGCTATCTTCTTTCGCCTATCGCGTTATGTAGTTCTGGTAGTTACACGGTAAGCTTGCACGCTTTACCGATTCTACCCTACTATAGTTGTTCGACTAGTTACATCGTTACTCGCACGATAATCTTACGCGATTATTCTCTTATACTGGCTCAATAAAGGCTACTCTTCCGCTAACTATTCTATTGCACTTTATTGCGACTAATGCCGAACTCTCAACCTTCTGAAACATCACACATAACGTCAGCGCGATTATAGTCACATAATTATAGAATTTACGGTTTAAGAAAGTAAAGTATGGCAACCGTAGTTTAATTTTTACCTTCCCAGCAAATCTATATCATAGACTGATATTATTCAGAATTATCTTTTTGTAACGCCAGTTTCTAAACCAGTAGATCAACCTGAGTTTCATTTAGTGATAGCTTTCCGTGCATAATTATAGCATTGTTAATTATAAGTTATTTAAAATCGAGTAATTTGTCAAATGATACAATTTATCTTAACCAATAGTACGAACAAAATATGCTGTTCTTGAGTGTTTCAGATTATGTTCGCTAGATTTCGCTAATGCTTTACATCTCGTGTGTAAGAGCTGAATGCTTTCGAAATCTATTAATATATTTTATTAATCATCACTAGGATATAAAATTTATTGCACCGGTAAAGAAAAATAAAGTACAATACTTGATCTAATATGCTGTATCTTTAGATTTAGTTTATCATATTACGATAATAATTACACCTTTACCTACATAATGAAATCTACTTAACATGTACGGTACTTAGCCCTGTAACAAGCACCTCAATTGATCTCAATCATATTATTCATATGCGTAATTCTAAGTTTGATGATATACGGAATCTCATCTATTAAGGCGGTAAAAAATATATAAGTATAGTAGCTACCGCGAACAATAGAAATCATTCTCTCTCAGTGATAGATTCAGTTTGTTACGTTTTCAAATTTTAATACTGTAAAGCATAGCCGGAATAGATTATTAAGTAACGAATCAGGACATAAGAATGGTTATTATGTAGTAAATATAAGGTGTAGAATGATGCCATAAATAAATATGTATAGAAATGCTGCCAAGAGTAACAGTAGGCTATCTAGCTACAGTTAGGCCATTGGCTGCAGAATGAGTCACGACTGCTCGAGGGGAGATGAGAGGGAACACCTGGGTGGGGGTGCAAATCTCATACTGAAGCTGAGAAAAGTACAAGGTTTATAGGAAGAACGTAAAGACTGAAAGAGTATGGACAATGCCGGGGAAGAAAGGATCAAAACATGTTTACCTCGAAGTTCGGACCGGACGTCTATAAAGGCCTGAAGTAGAATTAGGTTAGCCTAGCTCAGCTAGAAGAGAACCGAGCCCTAGAGTCATATCTACGAGAATAGTACTGTTAGCCTAGCTAACTTATCCGCCATGGCGGTACCTGAAGTATTTTCAATTGCTTATATTGTGATAAACCGATTTTAACTTATACGCTCGCTGTCCTTCTATTTTTCGGTAATTACCGAAATGAGAAGTATATGTTGGAATTTGGTTGCTGCAGTTACATATAGTAATCCATCATTTAGGATTTTAAATATTCTACACCATTTGCTAGTCATGATAAACACACCATGATATCTCAAATTATACTACTAAAGATTATTTTAGATATTAAAAGATTTTCTAGTGATCACCGGTTGAAAAGTAATCTTTTATTTCATTTTATGACTGTATACTAACAGATTTATTTGATTATAAATAGATTTATATTCCTGACATGAAATTAACATCATGTAATGATCATTTTTTATAGTTAGTGAGATTTATAGTCAATACATTTTTCAACCGTATGAAGTTTATACCTTGAAGATGTATTAATTATTAATATTGTTAAATTTAAACAGTTAGGCTGAAATCAATAGCTGTCGTGCATTAGTGCTACTAAAAGTTATCGCAAAACCGATTATTGTAAAAATTTCAAATTTTTTAATTTAGTAATTGACTCCACAATGAATACTCAATGTATTATTTGCATATCCAATGTATAATTGTAAAAATATATTCGTGATCCCTTTGATCACAATTTGATGGTTTAATTTGCAGTAAAATAAATATCGCATACAGTGCATTTAAAATTAGCTGAATAGTTTAATAAAGTTTGAATTTGAGGTTCTTAACAATATTCGTACTGAATTCGGCAGTAATGAAACGAGATCTGTATTATTTGTCTACCGTTTTGTTAGTAAGATTATATTCAAAACAAGCTATAAAATACTAATGCTTCTGTATTTTACTGCTGCTAACAGTATAACTTTAATCAATTTAGCCGTTAACTTTGACCACTACTTTAGATCCACATAAGATGCTATATTGGAGATAAATCTTTGGTTCCTAGTAGTTCTTCACGAAAAAGTAGATTTAGATAAAGTTTTGGTTCCTAGCAGCTCTTCAAGAAAATTTAGTATTCATCTTTCATGCGAGCGTCAATGTTATATGATACTATACTGAAGTAATTCAATTAGTATCGGTTGGATAATAATGACGTTGGAATAACTTTTCATCGTATGGCTCTAACATGTATAGTATAATTCAATTAGCAATTATAACCTTTCCGTCATCATAAAAATACAATGGATTAATTAGGGGGTTACTATTATTCAAGTACATTTATTGACTCTATGTTTTATTCACAAATCATTGCGATACTAATTCAATAGCTAATTTAAATTGGCTGCCCATTAGTTACGTAGTCAGCAACGAGTGACTATAATACTATTCTAATTATCGCAGCCATCTTGATAGTTTTCTTGACCAATTGCTTTCTAGTTGGGCTAATAAAAAATTGATCATGGCTCGTAAGAGATGTTGAAAAGCCATATTAGATGCCTATAATTGATTTTTAATAATCTATAGTACATTTCTATCATAAAGAAAAAGAAAGGTTTTTGAAATACTATTATTAATGAATAAAGAATTGGTTTGTGTTGTACTGTATCAGTCGTTGGAAAGAGTTCACCCCTTAGTATCTGCTATGTAACGAGTAATTTGCCGTAATACATAGTCTTTTCAACTCTTTAATACGAAGAAAAGCGATTTTATGTAGGCGTACTTGACTATATGTATCGTTTGCTTACTTCATACACGCTACAACTGTAGGTGTTACAGTAACACCATCCGTAGTCAACTATTTGAAAAATTGGATTGCAATAAATCAAGAAGTTTTTATTAATTATGATGTAGCTTTTGAAGGCTGCTTTTAAAGTCCAAATACATGTTATTTTTACTTAAAAGTAATTTTCATAAGTGCAGATCGTGCTATGGAAACATTTTAATTATATCGATTTTACGGTAACGTCAAATACCATTAAGTTAAAACAAAGCCAGCTACCCAATTAATTATCTTGCTCCTTGCTGCTGATAAAGAATCGGAAAGATTGAATTTGCTGTCTCTGAATTGGTATAAGAATGGTTTAACTATTTGTTATTTACAGTTAAGATGAAGCCGATAGTGCAACCTTCAATACCTAACTCATTGTTGACGAAATCGTTGAAGACACAAATTTATCATGGATTCTAGCAATGTTGATGAAGTAGAAAAAGAAAATAAGTCTAATGTCAATAATAAAATGGAATTGGTTGTTCCTAAGCAAATAACGCCACCTACTTCAGCAATCTTAACCGAAAAGATAACTAATCACGACAAACCGTTAAGTAAAGCTAGTACCAGCATTAGTTATACAGGTAGCCTCACTAAAAGTTCTAGATTATACTCAAACTGGACTAAAAAGCGATCCAAGAAAAAGAACAGAGTTCAAGATATTCAAGATATGTTGGACAAAAACATAGGAGTTAGATCAGCTACGGTGGTTCGCAAGAGTTTTCGAGATATTTACGAGGTTAATGGGATAATACTGTTCCTGACTATTATATTGATCTCTTTTGCTGACTGAATTAGTCATACTCGTAATCAATCTTCACA